TATTAAAATTGATGTATTTATAAATATATTAAATATTTAGCTTTTTATGTAAGAAAATTCCAAAATTTATGTTTATAGAATTGAGAGATTTTAAGACAATTTACAGTTTTGTTACATTTTAATTAAAATTTTAAACATTTATTATGTGTGTATGTGCATTAACCCCGCTTGTTTGCCTGTATGCCACGGTGTATGTGTGATGGTCAGAGGACAGCTTGAGGGAGTCAGTTCTCCCCTTCCATCATGTAGGATCTAGGGCTCAAAATCAAGTTGTCAGGTTCAGAAGTAAGCACCTTTACTTGCTTCTCACCAATCCCCTACATATTTATATTGTATTAAATCATTTATTTATTTATTTAATTTTATGTGTATGAGTGTTTTGCCTGCATGTATGTAAATATACCATATGCATGTAATGCCTGCAGAGATTAGAAGAGGGCATTGGATCCCCTGGAACTGTCATTTCAGACAGTTGTTAGTCACCATGTGGGTTTTGCGAACCAAATCTGGGTCCTCTGTAAGAGCTCAGTGCTCTTAACCACTGAGCCATCTCTCCAGCGTCTATATACTTATTATTTTTATTTTATGTGTATGTGTGTATTGCCTGCATATGTGTAAGTATGCCCGTGTTGTGCAATGCCCACAGAGGGCAGAAGAGGCTGTTGGATGCCCTGGACTTACAGACAGTTCTTAGCTGTCATGTGGGTGCTGGGATTTGAACCTGGGTCTTCTGCAAGAACAGCCAGTGTTCTTAACCACTGATCCATCTCTCCAGCCCTATATACTTATTTTTAATGTTAAAGAAAATATATCAAAAATGTAGATTGGAGAAAATGGTGCCAGAAAAACTGGATAGCCACATGTAAAAGACTGAAACTAGATCCTTATCTCCCACCGTGTAAGAAAATCAAAAGTATCAAAAAAGACATTAATGTAAGACCCGAAATTCTAAAACTGATAGAGGTAAAAATTGGGAAAACACTACAAGATATTGGCATAGGTAAGCACTTTCTGATTAGGATTGCGGTCACCCAGGGAATAACACCATAAATTTCATGCTGAAATTTCGTGGAATTAAAAAGCTGCACAGCAAAGGATTGAAGAGATAGCCTACTGAATGGGAGAAAATCTTTGCTAGCTATACATTTGACAAAGGATTATCTGGAATACACAAAGCACTCAAAACACTAATCAGGAAAACTATCTTAGATACAGTTATTAGAATGGGCTACAGAGCTGTATAATACGTTCTCAGAAGAGGAAATATAAATGACTATTAAACATTTTTAAAAGTATTCAACATCCTTGGCTATCAGGGGAAATAGATTCCATCTCACCCCAGTTAGAATGGTCATCATCACGGTTGCAAATAACAATAAATGTTGGTGTGGGAGTATGAATGGTTTGTGGGAGTGTATACTAGTGAAGTCACTATGCATACCAGTCTGGAGGCTTCTCAAAAAAGTAGAAACAGAATTATAATATGGACCAACTATACTTCTCCTTGGTATATGCACAAAGGACTTAAATCCTGCTACAGAGACACTTGCACATCCATGTTCATTTTTGTTCTGGTCGCAAGAGCTGGGAAATGGAATCAGTCTAGATGTCCTTCTCCTGATAAATGAATAAGAAAAATGTGGTATATGTACACAATGGAATTATTGCTCCACTATTTAAAAAAGCTTATGAAATCATGAACTTTCTAGGTAAGTAGATAAAACTGGAAATTTTTTAGTTCATGTGGTTATCCAGTCCCCAAACGATAAATGCCATGTCTTCTCATTCATATATGGCCCTAGCTTTATATCTTTTGCTTTATGTGCTTAACTTGTAGTACATGTAGATGCCAGAAAACTAGAAATGAGCCAACCAGGATGGGGGGAGGGCACACGACAGAAGAATATAGAGGAAATTAGAGAGGTGGAATCCACTCTCTGAAGAGGTAACCCTAAAATCTTTTAAGGATTAGATACAAGCTCCCAAATACTTTCAACATTTTTGGCCTTTGGAACAGAGTATGTTGCTAAGAAGCCCAAAGACATTTTGACTTTTAGCCAAGAAACTGGCTACTTTTCTTTGGGGTCTTTTTACCTTAACTGCCTAGCCAACTCCTACCTCCTGTTCTTATCACACCATCCTCTGAAGAGGTTACCCAACCTGCAGATAGGGAATAGGGATGCAGACCGCTCTAAAGGCCAGATTCTTTATTTCTTGGAATTGATTTCTGTGAAGTAGGTGGCCTCTCTGTAACTCTCTACCTTCATTCCTTGTCTTGTAGAGCTTCGTTGGCCATCCAGAGGATGAACCTAGCTCTGGCCTACTTTGAAAAGGCAATTGGCAATGTTATTGTTGCCAAGGGTCATAGAACATCAGATCCGATTAGTCTATATGAAGAAATTGCTCAGATCAAGCAGTTGAGGAAGAACCACAAGCAGGCCATCCAGTACTTGCAGCAGGTTGGTGTGCTGGCAGGGTGGTCTTGTTTGACTCCAGGCCAGGTTCCTAGAGCCAGAGAAGCTTGGGCTTCTCATAAGGACTTTGGATTGGTTCCTTATTAGGCTCCAGCGTCCTAAGGAGTAGAACTAGTTCCATCTCACTTTTCTCTAGCCCCATACAAGAATCTACTGCCAGTCCTAAAAAGCCTGAGCAGAGGACTGTGGACTCAGGTGAACGGATCTGCCATGTGACCTGATCAGTGAGTACATACGTCCCTCTCAGGCTTCTCATCTCTGTCAGTGCTAGGAAGAAACCAACAATGAGTCTATTCCTAGAGAAAAAGCAGGGGCAACTGAACTTGTCTCAAAATACAAAGGGTAGCTGGCAAGATGGTTCAGTGGGGAGAGGTATTTGCTAGCCATACAAGCCTGGGAACCTGAGTTCAATCCTTGGAACCCACATAAAATTAGAAGGAGCCAGGTGTGGTAGCAGCTTATGTGTTTAATCCCAGTACTTGGAAGACAGAGGCAGGTGGACCTCTGTGAGATCAAGGCCAGCCTGATTGACTTATCAAGCTCCAGGCCAGCTGGGGCTACAGGGAAACCCCACAAAAAAAAAAAAAAAAAAAAAAAAAAGAAAAAGAAAAAGAAAAGAAGAAAAGAAAAAAAGAGTAGAAAGAAACTAATGAACTCCACTCCACTAAGCTGTCTTCTGGCTTCACACATATGTCCTGGAACATGAATACATACACACACAGATAATAAATGAAATAAAAACACAAAAAGTCTCAAATTAAAACTCATGGTATTTTGCCATAATGTATCAGATGCCTTTTAAGTTTATCTGACTGGTTATATTTCCAAGTCTAAGATTAAACTAACAAAAGTGTATCTCACTCAGAGGTAACTAATTTGGATAATACTCAGGGGAAAACAAAACAAAGCGAAAAATGTTGAGTCTATAATATGAAAGCCATTTAGGACATATGTGTATATCGTATATTTTAACGTATCCATTAAATTCACCTTCCTAAATAAAAATGCCGCAGTGCTTTCAAGAATCTGTAGCCACAAACAGAACAAAATGCTGGTTTTTCTGTAACAGAAAAGACGCAGTGCAATCCAGTGGTCTTCGTGAAAACAGGTACCAAAGAAAAGGTAGTGTGAACAATTTGACAGTCCAAGATTACAAATAGCATGCAGTGGAGAAGTATTTAGAAAATGTTCTGGGGCTGGAGAGATGGCTGGTGGTTAAGACCGCTGGCTGCTGTTGCAGAGGACCTGGGTTTGATTCCCAGCACCCACATGGCAGCTAACAACCATCACTATCTGTAACTCCAGTTTCAGGGGATCTGACTCCCTCTGACCTCCACAAGCATTGCATGACTTGGGTGCACATATATACATTTAGGCAATACACTCATACACAACAAATAAAAGTAATAAATTAGTTAATAAATTTATTATATATAAAATTTTAAATTAATTTTAATACATTAAAAATAAGACTAGCTAATATTTATTTAGAATTTACCACAATGGTGAATATTGTGCCTAGTATTCACATACAGTGACTCATTTAATCTTTCCCAAATCCTTCCAGGTACGATGGTGAAATTACTTGCTCAAGACTCACACAGTTAGGAAGTGGCAGAGCTGAAGCTCAGTCTCTCATTTAATTAGCTACGTGTTGATGCTCAATCAACTAGCAGTTCTATGAAAACTACAGAATAGAGCACAGTTAAAGACTGCCATCATGTACTGGCCTTGTCCTGGTTTTCTTCTTTTGCAGGCCTATTCTATCTGTGTTTCTTCATTTTCTGAAATCAGCACCCAAACTGCAGAGACGAGTGCATCACTAGCTAAAGCTTATGCAATGTCTGGAGAGTCCCAGCACAGGGCTACGTAGAGGAGGTGACCATTAATGAGTGAGCCATATATAAGTAAGATTATAGTTGACTACTTACATAATGGAAAGATAAAGCTGGTCATGATTTTGTACAAAATCAAATATATGAATTTACACCTGATAACATCTTCCTAAATTAATCTGAGCACTGGAACCATTGAATGAATCCATATCTGTTTCTTTACTCCCTTAAATCTCAGTAAAATTCACCTTTCTAGCTTTTAGAGATTATACATACTGTGAGCATGGCTTGTGAGGCGATCCAAAGAACAGCACCACTGCCTCCCTTCCTGCATTCAGTCTAGACTCTTCTCCAGTGTAGAAGGGAATGTTTGTAGCAGTTAGAATTTTTGTGACCCATGTTCAAAAATGAAATTCTGGGGTTTCTAAAGGAAAACTAATTGATTAATTTATCCTTCAGCAATAGTCCTTTGTCTGGTTGTTTTGAAACTTGGTGGCTTTGGAGAGACAGATTAACAGGTTGGAGAGGACAGTGCTGGTTTGATCAGACTAATGGATGCTGGTGGAGTCAATAATTTGTCAGGAGGAATTTTGGATTTGTGAGAAATGTAATTTGAAGATTCTGAAATGTGTTTTCCTTTTCTGCTTGTAAAAATAATCCATTTTCATAAATGTTGTTTTCCAGTTAGAGAATAGAGGAGAGGAAGAGAGGCTGAGAGAATTATAGGGGAAGTTTGAATCCTATTTTTCTAGTTGTTTTCCTATCTTATTAAATAAATGTCATTTTCAGTTTGAAGTTTTGTTATTTGTTATTCATAACTGAATGTTCATTGCAGGCTTCCTGATTCTGTATTTTCATCTAATAATTTTCTGTTTTTAAAATTTCCTTGTATATATTCATAGTACATGTACTCCATGTATAACAGTTTTTTAGACATTGCAGTTATTAAAATTGATGTATTTATAAATATATTAAATATTTAGCTTTTTATGTAAGAAAATTCCAAAATTTATGTTTATAGAATTGAGAGATTTTAAGACAATTTACAGTTTTGTTACATTTTAATTAAAATTTTAAACATTTATTATGTGTGTATGTGCATTAACCCCGCTTGTTTGCCTGTATGCCACGGTGTATGTGTGATGGTCAGAGGACAGCTTGAGGGAGTCAGTTCTCCCCTTCCATCATGTAGGATCTAGGGCTCAAAATCAAGTTGTCAGGTTCAGAAGTAAGCACCTTTACTTGCTTCTCACCAATCCCCTACATATTTATATTGTATTAAATCATTTATTTATTTATTTAATTTTATGTGTATGAGTGTTTTGCCTGCATGTATGTAAATATACCATATGCATGTAATGCCTGCAGAGATTAGAAGAGGGCATTGGATCCCCTGGAACTGTCATTTCAGACAGTTGTTAGTCACCATGTGGGTTTTGCGAACCAAATCTGGGTCCTCTGTAAGAGCTCAGTGCTCTTAACCACTGAGCCATCTCTCCAGCGTCTATATACTTATTATTTTTATTTTATGTGTATGTGTGTATTGCCTGCATATGTGTAAGTATGCCCGTGTTGTGCAATGCCCACAGAGGGCAGAAGAGGCTGTTGGATGCCCTGGACTTACAGACAGTTCTTAGCTGTCATGTGGGTGCTGGGATTTGAACCTGGGTCTTCTGCAAGAACAGCCAGTGTTCTTAACCACTGATCCATCTCTCCAGCCCTATATACCAGTGTTTTAACTAAAGGAACTAGCATTTTTCTTCTGCTTCCACTTTTCCCGAGTCCTTGAGATCTGCCACAGGCTTGGGTGCTACTATGTTCCTTGCCTGCCTGTCTTTCCTTTGTTTCCTTTTGTTTGTTTTGCTTTCTGAACAAGGTCTCTCTATAGCCCAGGCTAATCTAGAACTCACACTGTAGCCCAGGATGGCCTCAACTCACAGCAATCCTCTTAACTCAGTCTCCCAAGTGTTGGTATTTGCAGATGGTTGCCGCGATGCCTAGCTTTCCTTAGTTCTTTTTTGTTTTGAGACAGGGTCTCTCTATGTAGTCTAGGCTGG